AGGAAAGTTCTTGGGATGACTAGGTAGGTGGTGGGGTGGAGCTGTCGAGAGTTCAGAGAGCTTTCCTTTCTAAAAAGAGGGGAAACAAGCTACGGAGTACTTGATCTACACTAAAGGGCTAGGGGTCTGTCCAGCTACCGAAGCCTTAGGGGCCAGAGCACAGGGAGAAAGAAAGCGACAAGAATGGAGGAGTTCAGTGAGACACGGCTCTGGGATGTACTGAAGGCAAAAGGATCCTCAGGCTGCGAACATTGGACACCAGTCTTCAGGTCCCTAAGTCAGAGGGAAGTAAGTAGGGCAGGACAGAGTTCCCAGGGAACAGAGCCCAGAGTGGACAGAGGTGGGAGCTGAGATACCACCCCCTTCTCCCAGGGGCTCAGAGAGGAAGAGACCCAGGGCACTGGAAGATAGACAAAGTTCAGCCAGCCCTGGAGGAGCAAGGGAGAGCTCACAGGGGAGCCAGGACATGCCGATGACCCTCCCCTTGGAAGGAGGGGGACTTCTGGCCACAGGCTCCAACTCACCTATAAAACATGAGCCCATCCTTGAGATTCAGGCAAGCCACCCCTTGCTGTCCTGAGGGCCGTGAGGGTTGTGCCCAGCACTAGGGCCTGGTGAGGGGGCAAATGGGGTTGGAATCCAGCTGTGCACCCAGGTGAGGGGCTGCATCTGCCCAGAGGAAGGGGTGCCTGGAAGGTTAAACCGCTCTGATGCTTTCCTCTTGAAGAAGGAAGGCTGAGTCATGCCATTGCTGAGCTGGAGATGCTAGATGCTAGAGGAGTGGACGCAGGGAAGACCCTTGACTCAGAGAGGGGTGTTTGTGGAGGGATACCGAGGAGTGCCCGTAGAAAGTTCTATGAGACTAGCAGTGGTAAGCGAACCACCACCAGGTTTCAGCTCATTAAGCATCCTCTGTTAAGTTTCAGTGAATAGAAGCTTACTACCCAATGTCGTCTATACTAATGTGGCACCAGGAAATAGGAGTTTGACCATGGTGGTGGTCTGTCTGGGATTTCACTCCGCACAGCACCTTGTAACAGAGCAAGCATTTAATAGGTGAGTGTGGAATAGAATTTAAACTGATGCCATCCAGCTCCCTGTTCCCTTACTAATCTGGGGGAATTCATACTAACACGTGTGTGGGGGTGGGCTGGGGAGGGGGCCTAGCAGAGGTAGAGAGAGACCAGAGCATTGCTTGGGTATTGAAGTTTTACAGACTGGGGGAGATGTCAGTTCAGTAACCCCTACAAACTACCGGAGAACTTGCTACTCTATACAGTGTGATATGGAGGATGTTAGCATGGTCCACTGTCTAGGTGTTCCAGAGCTGTCCAGGTGGTAGAACTTAAAGGGAAACCTCTCAGTCCCAGGCAAACAAGATAGTTGATCCCCCTACAAAATAGTCTTGAGCTACTCCCAATCATCCTGTCTGTGGTGCTCTCCCTCATGTTCTGGGCCCCTTCTCACTAACACAGAACTTTCTGCCTCACTCCCTCCACAGCACCTGCCCCTCTGCCTCCAGTCCTACATCTAGAGCCCCAGATTGCCACAGCGGGCTGTGCCCCACCTCACAGGTGCATGTCCCATCTGCTGTCGGACTTGATGCTCTAGGATGCAGAGCATTTCATGTCAGGGAGGGGAAGGATGTCGGGAGGGGGTGTGGGGAGCATGGGAGAAAAGCAGATGAACTCTATTTTTGAGCTAGCTGAATGTGGATGAGGGTGGAAGAACAGCCTCCTTTCAAACTGGTTCAGACAGGCTGAGAGTATTAGGTTTCTGCACTGAGCTCACTTTCAAAGGGAAATCAGAGAATTCAGTTTCAAGTCCTTCCCATTTCTAAGGTGCTGTGGTTTGTCCCCAAGTCTTGTCACCCCAAAGTTAGCTCAAGGATCCTTCAGGTATCTTCTTTTCTCTATTAATGATCTTTATCTACAGAATGCTGCCTCCCTGGATTGTGTTGAGGGGTAGTCAAAAGGCCAATAGACTAGAGAAAAATGGCCTTCGGTATCCATTCTCAAACCAAGCACCCATGACTTTGGTTATGTCCATTTGGGGTTATTCAAGACCCTGCTCTAAATTTACCGCCAGCGTGGTGTGCCCTGCAGAGTGACGCTCTTACCCTCCAGGAGCATCCTTAGCCAAGAGGGCAGGAGATTGTGGTGCTCACAGGCTCAGCTCCCTTGGGGCTCCCTGGGATACCTGTCTCCTTGACCTGATCTCATGCAACACAGACCCTGTTCATTAACCTAAAATGTGAAGTTTCTTCTCCTCTTTACCCTCACATGATTCTGCACTGTCTGCAGGGAGGAGGTGTCTCAACCTCCTCCACCATCTTTCTCTCATGCCCCTGTGCAGCCCAGCCCGCCTCCCAGTTCCTCACCCCACCCCAGAAATTCCCATGTATTTTATTCTGATTTTTTAAAATCTGAATTCCAGTAACTGCTTGTCTGAGTCACTCGATCCAGGGCAAGCATGTGGAGTGAAACCTACAATAAGAAGAACAACAACAAAACAACTTTCACACGCTTATATTTTGTCTCCACTCCAATTTCAATTTCTTAAGGGAGGAGAGTGTCTTAGATGTTTCTCTGTCACTGTCCAGCATAGAGCAGTACACACAGTAGGCGCTCAATTTTATAGCTGTTGAATGACTGATCTCTTCAGGCCTTGGGACACCCATTAGTCCAACGAACCCAAAGACTGGGGTGTGGAGTGCGGTGACTGATTAGAAGGTAGCCAACACAGCGAAGGTTGGGACTGCTGGAGATGCCACGGGGTAGGCAGAGACAATGCCCTGCAGTTATGTCCTCTAGCATCAGCTAGGAGGGGCACCTGGGTGTGGCCACCATGATGACACTTGTCAGGAAATCCCCCTCTGCCTGATCCTCTTCTTCCTGTGTCACAGTTACCACCACAACACCACCATCACCATCACTGCCCCCCTTAATCCCCAGCCCCCAGTACGGAAAGCCCCGTGTTTTCACTCTAGCTGTCATCCTATCCCACAACATGCTGTTTAGGAACATGACCTTGAGACCAGACACCCTCAGATTCCAGTCCCAGCTCTGATGAACTGGCTGAGTGACCTCGGGCAAGTTCTTTAACATCCCTAAGTCTCCAGTTCTTCACCTGTCAAGTGAAGTTAGTAGCATCAGGGTTGGAATAGAAATCCTTGTAGTCCTCAGCACGATGCCTGGCACATGCAATGTGAACAACGGATGTGAACCCTTTTTGTTATTACTTTCACGGTCACTATGGTGGGTACTGTCGCTGCCACCGTCGCTGTTAACTACAAGTAGTACGAGTGTCCCCACTGCCTGGGAGCAGCTGCTCCGAAGCAGCCTTTGCTACGAGTGCTGGGGTGGGGAGGGGGTACAAGCCCGGCCTTCCGGACGTTCCTAAAAGCCCCCAATCAAAATTAGCCTGCTTTCCCCATCATACCTCCAAATCCTTCTTTCACAACGCTCTTCTGTCAGTCTGGAGCATGGGCCCCAGATTCAGTTCTTTATGTAGATTCCTCTCATTGGTCCTCAGCCTCCTTGGGGGCTGGGGCCATAGGTTGGTCGAGGGACTTACACCGTTTGTTGACATGCACACCCCAGCACTTGCAGTCTGGCTTAGAAAACCACAAGAAACCATTTAAATTATGCCCTCCCATGCTTTGAGGCTAGGGCCCGCCAGGAAGGTGGGGAGACCGGGTTCCTAGAGAAGGAGCTCCCACTGCTGCCTTCTGGGATGCGAGAAGAACACCATGTGAAGGGAAGACCCTCTGAGGAGCATTCCCGGCTCCATCCTGCTGGCCAGCTCACCATCTCCACCCTCCTCCCCTGCAGTGGGAGCACTGGTCTACCACTCTCTAGCTGATCCAAATGGGTTGAGGCTGCTCAGTTTACTTAAAGGAAGTGGTCAGTGTCCTGCATTAGGGTAGCTACCAGATGCCTGTTTTTGAAGTTATTTTGTAACATTTCACCCTGCCAGGACTACCTGAGCTAATAAAAGGCTGCTCTCTTCTGTCCCCAACTTGAGTGACTTCCTGAAGTGATCTGGAAACTGGCAGAACAGCTCACCCCGAACCAATGAGTGGAACTCAGGGACTTCTGTTTCTTGGTCCCTGGGCATGGAATGTTTCCACAGGAAGCCCAAGGGTTGGGGAAACATTCTCCCAGAGAAGAACTAATGTCTGAGCTCCTAGGATGGGGCGGACAACTTTGGGAGCAAAAACGTGGCTGCAGGAACTGCCCACTGCCTGAAAAGGTTCTCACTGTTGAAAAGGCAACCTCAAGGCACCACTACCCAGTCCTCGCCCACGGAAAGCCCCAGACAATACCCCTGCTGAGGACCATGCAGACTCTGTGGGGTCATTTCCACTATTTCCTGGGGTGTTTTCCACCACTGGACAGCTGGGGTTCTTAGCGACCCAAAGAGTGATGCCTGGAAATTCTGCTTGGATCTAGATCTTTGAAGACACCCCTCATGTTCTTTCTGAATCTCCTCTTCTCTGGCATGAACACTTTGGCTCCTCAACAAGACCAGATACTAGGAGATGGATTCTCTTGGGAGGAAACCTTGAGTTTTTGGATGAGCCCTTTCTGGATAAAGCCAGACAGTTGCCCCTGCTCCTTGCTCATAGATAAACAAGAAGGAGGCAGCCCTGAAAAAAAAGAAAGCTAGGAGATCTCAGAAGGGGATAAATCTCCAGGTCCCTAATTAAGAGCACAGATAAATGCCCGATTAGACCAATCCAGTCTGCAAGGGCAGCATATTCTGCTGGCTATCAGAAACGCTTTGTTGTCGCAAAGAGTTTGGAGATCTCTGTTCTACAAATTACCCATGGCTCCTGGCCCTTCAGCACAAAGAAAGGAGATAGTGGAGAGACGCCCTTTTCCGGTGTCCTGGGCTCGACAGGATAAAAGGAGGCAGCACTCTGGGCGCCTCATCAGAGTGTTCTCTATCCGTTGCTGACTGATTTCTCTAACTCTGTTAACTCCATCTTTCCTAGCATGAATCGCCAACTGAACATCAAGCCTGGTGGTGACAAGGGTGGCTTCAGTGGGCACTCAGCAGTGGTGCTGAGGCAGGCTCTGGGCAGTGCAGCTTCTTACCGTGCAGTTGGCAAAGGACCTGGGGCTGGCTTTGGCAGTCGGAGCCTCTACAGTCTTAGAGGGAATCGGTGTATTTCCCTCAACATGGCTGCTGGTGGTGTTCGGACTGGAGGTTATAATTTTGGGGTGGGGTCTGAGTATGGAGTGGGGAGGGCCACTGGCTTTGCTGGCAGCATGTTTGGCAGTGTGGCCTCAGGGCCTGTGTGCCCATCCATGTGCCCACCCGGGGGCATCTACCGGGTCACCATCAACAAGAGTCTCCTGGCCCCCCTCAACATGGAGTTGGACCCGGAGATCCAGAGAGTGTGCATCCAGGAGCGGGAGCAGATCAGGGCTCTGAATGACAAGTTTGCCTCCTTCATTGATAAGGTGGGTTTCATGGGAGGAGGATGAGACAGTTCAGTGAGATGTGAGCAATTCCTTGCTGCCGGGGAGTGGACAGGGCACTGTGGATGGAACGGTGGCAACTGGGCCTCAGGAAGGACTCCCCCATCATAACGTCCTGTAAGCTGGGTAGCACAAAGGAATAAATGAATGTGTTGCTTCCTTGGGGGATTTTGCAGAGATGGGTGGAAAATTGAGTAAAGGGTAGCCCCACCTTGAGAAAGAAGTTCTGGGTTTCTGGAGGACAGCTGGATGAATCTCCAGCCCTTTAAAGAAGATGAAGAGCTGGTAGAATCAACACCATTGGGAAGGGAGGGCTCACGGTACAGAAGAAACACTTGGCTGAGTCATCAGGAGGAACATCTCCTGGGTGCTGAGTCAGGCAATGAAAGAAAGTTATGGCATTTCCTTCTTCCGTGAGTTTTCAGGGATTGGTTTTGTCTAGAAAGCTATGGGATGAGCACTTGCAAAGGGCCTAGTTTGCATGGAATTCCATGAGTGGAGAGTCAACATCTGAGCCTAATGACTTTAGAAAAATCTATATAACCTGAGAGTCAATAGTCTATGTCCATGGACATGACCACTTCCATTGTGGTCCCAGGTACGGTTCCTGGAGCAGCAGAACCAGGTGTTGGAGACCAAGTGGGAGCTGCTGCAGCAGCTGGACCTGAACAACTGCAGGAAGAACCTGGAGCCCATCCTCAAGGGCTACATCAGCAACCTGCGGAAGCAGCTGGAGACGCTGTCCGGGGACAGGGTGAGGCTGGACTCGGAGCTGAGGAGCGTGCGGGACGCAGTGGAGGACTACAAGAGAAGGTGAGCAGGACACAACACCTATAGGCTGACTGGCCTGCCAGAGCTGGGCTTTCCCAGCAGGCCATGGGACACTGAGCTCAGGTAAGAATGGCCCATCCTGAGTTCCCCTAGCCGGGCAAGATGAGGGCCCTCTCTGGGTGGCCAGGCAGTCCAGGGACAGTATACAGCTGGACTTGGAACTGAGGATGGTGCGGGACGTTGTGGAGGACTACAAGAAGAGGTGAGCAGGTCCCACCAAGGTCATGGGTCATGTTCCCAGAGGCTCCTGGGCAAACCCAATCTCTGTGCCACTTTTTAGGAGGGGAGAGAGCAAGCACCAGGGCCAGGGGCTCACACCCCTCCCTTGGTTGTGGGGGAACAGCCTGCCCTGTTTGATGAGAACTTCCTACCTGGTTGATAGGAAGGAGTTCCACGCTCATTGATCCAGTGACTTGTTCAGTGGCCAGTTTGGGGAACCTAATAGGCACTGGGATATTTTCCTAGCCTCCAGCGAGTGGAATATTAATGAGATAACTCAGGGACATAGCCCTGCCACTCCCAGCCTGTGCAGCGCTCACCTCTAGGAGATCCGGCAGGGACTCTGCATCCTGAGCACTTGCCCACCAGTGAGAACAGGAGGTTCTTGGCCCAGGGGACTGAGGCCCCTGCTATCTTCTCTTTTCGCCCACAGGTATGAGATGGAGATTAGTCGGCGCACAGCAGCTGAGAATGATTTTGTGGTGCTCAAGACGGTAAGGGAGTGAAGAGCCTTTGCTCTCTTTTGCATCCCCATCCCAACCAGCTCTGCTCAGGATTCCAGCCCAGGCCTTCTGGGGAGGGGCTGATGCCTGAGTGGGGATGGAGTCATTGTTCTGGCCTCTAGCAAGCTGAAGAGGCGGGATACACAGCCAGGCAAAGGACAGAGACAGACAGGAGGGAATTCTGGTCTGGGAAAAGAGAAACTCTGGTGCAGCTTGGCCCTCCTATGTGACTTGGGGAAACTCATTCTGCCTCTCTGGGCTTTGTTTTCTCCAGTGTAACAGAGCAATATTCCTCTTTCTCTATTTTCAAAGAGTCATTGAGTATGAGAAAAAGTTTTATTCATCCGTATGCTTCCCTTTGCAGGCAAACAATAGGAAATCAGATGGCTCTGGGAGCAGGGACAGGGAAAGCTCATGAGATGAAGGTTGTATTGACTGAATGTTCTGGGTGCCTTTGGCAGGATGCAGATGCAGCCTACACAGTGAAGGTGGAGCTCCAGGCCAAAGTAGATTCTCTGGACAAAGACATCAAGTTCCTCAAGTGTTTGTATGATGCGGTGAGGATGCTCCTGTCTTTCTCCCACCCCAGCCAAGTGAGGGCCTCACTTGGCTCTTCTGGGGAGATGTCAATAAGAGGGATTTAGGACAAACAGAATTAAAGATGTTTTGATAGAAAGGTGCAAAACTCTGCACTGGGAGGCCATGGAAGTGTAGGATCTTGGTCCCCAGAAGCCATATACAAAAGAGACAATCCCACCTGGGCTATGATAGTGATCTTGCACTCAGGCAGAAAAAAATGACCCCATGAGGTTCTACTCAAGCACAGGTTCTTGACTCTCTGAATTATAGGAAATGTCTCCACTGCCCACTGCCCATGAGGGGTGCATCCTGCTGCTGTGAGCCTTCTCCCTAGGCTCCAACATTCAGACCTAGAGCAGGCACTTCTTCCCACCGCTTCAGCCCAGAAGATGAATAGGCAACAAAGGGAGGCTAGGGGACCCTGACTCTGTCCTCACCTCTCAACTCAGGAGATAGCCCAGATTCAGACTCATGCCAGTGGAACCTCTGTCATCCTGTCCATGGACAACAACCGGGACCTGGACCTGGACAGCATCATTGCCAAGGTCCGAGCTCAGTATGAGATCGCCCTGAAGAGCAGGGCCGAAGCGGAGGCCCTATACCAGAGCAAGGTGGGCACCAAGGGGATCTCTGTCTTCCACTAGCCTCTCCTTTCCTGGGAAGGGACACCTCTACCAGTGAATGAAAGAGCTACCTTTGTAGATGTGCTGAATGAAAGAATGGTTATAACCAATGCTTTAACGGTATTCTATTCAAAAAGAATTCTCAGTAGAGACTATTGTCAAAGATAAACGAATGGGCATATTCAACAGAGAGGGACAGGCAATCTTCTGACGGAATAAAGAAGAGAGGTGTTTCTGCTGTAGAACAAATGTGTTTCCAGGGATTAGGTCATGTCATCACGGGGCAGAAGGAGAGAGAATAACAAATATGGTGGAGAGTAGTTATGGCAGACCCAGGGTGGGACAGGGAGTGAAGGGGAAGCCATGAGCTCTTTTCTGGACTTCCAAGAGTAGGAAGTGGAAGTCTAGGTGGATTCTGGGTAATGGGAATTATGCTTAGAGAAGACCCTTTACCTGTGTGCTCTCCAGGGCTTCACACCTGCCCTGCTCTGGCGTTCCTCACGTTGTTAAATCCCATCAACAGCAAAGACCTCAGGTTCCGCATCCCCTGTCCTTGGATACATCATCCCCTCTTCTCTGGAGGACTGGGCAAGGGAAGAGGGGAAGATATGAGCTGCAAGCCCTGAGCCAACAATCCCACCACCCCAAGGGTACACATTGCCTTCAGTGTGCCCCTCCTGGCCCTCCACTTGTCACTGAGAAAGGGCCGCGGGAGAATGTATGTCCCGTGAGGGAAGGGACCTCACCGATCCTGTTCACTGCTGCATCCTTAGCACCTGGAGCAGAATCTGGCCTTTAACAGAGGCCTCTGTAAAGAGGTGCTTAATGAGTGGAGAGCTCCTCTTACATTTCAGAAGTGCTTAATAAATGTGACCTGCACCTTTCTTTCATCCAGCTCAGGAAAGATTACAGGCAGGGCAATGAGAAAGGATGGGTCCAACACACAGTTTCCGCTTAGAGATGTGGGTGGACTTCTTGGTCGGAACCACCACCACATAGCTGGAAGGATGCCCAGGCCCCGACTCCAACACACCCTGTTCTGGAGCCATCTCCCCTGGCTGGCCCCAACCATGGAATTGTTTGCTCAGGACCCTTCCTCTACTTCGAATCGGGGCCAGGGGTTGCAGTCCTGTCTCATAACCAACTTTCTATCTCTGGGAAACCAGATCCAAGAGCTGCAGCTGACAACGGGCCGGCATGGTGATGACCTCAAACACACCAAGAACGAGATGTCAGAGCTGAACCGGCTTATCCAGAGGATCCGGTGTGAGACTGCAAATGTAAAAAAGCAGGTGGGCAGCAACCTCACAAAGAATGTCAAGTTCTTTGTGAAGTTCAATTTCATCCTCTGTGATGGAGAAACTGGAGCCCACCCTTTAGTAAAAAGCATATCTCCCAGTCTGGGTTTGGGAGCCCCTCAGCCATCCACTGTCCCTCTTTCCCACCTGCCTCTGTACCCGTGGTCGGAGCTGACACTCTGCTAAGAGCTGGGAAGTGCCTTGAGCTTACTTCATCCGACTCCCAGTTTGCAGATAAAGAAGATGGGCAGATAAGGAGAGGGAAGTGACTTGCCCAAGGTCTCCAGCTGGTTGTCAACAGTCAGGATGGAAATCAGTTTTCCTCCTTCTTTCCCCCTCTTTCTCAGACCTTTTCTGTGTGCAACAAACCTGCTCTACATCCCCTTCAGATGTGCCCTCTGACAGCAGGTCCCATGCCTCCTCCTCCCACTGGACACGCAAAACACGTGGCGGGGGGTGTGCATGGGGAAATGCGTCCCAGGCCCCTCCGTGGCCACATTAAGCTCTTGCCCTCAGGGTGGGGGCATCGTCCTGGTGACCAAGGGAGGACAGCAGCAGATGAAGCCCTCCTGGGTGTCCCTGCCCTGTACCACGATACCATGTCCACTTCAGCTAGGGAATCCTGTCTTCCCTGAAAGCAGCAGAGCTTAAACACCATGTCAGTGGGGAGATGATATTAAGGGGGTGGTGAATTCTTCCTGTGTCCTCCCCAAAGAACCAAGTCAACTCTACTAGTGATAGAACACCAACATGAAAGAGCAGTGCCCACTCTCCTCCCTGAGTCCCTACAACCTCCATGCCCTATTCAAGCTGAGAAAGGGTGCATTTAGCCAGACCCTCCCTGCAGAGTGCTGGAGTGTTCCAGAAACACTCACTCTTGGTGCTTACAGGTAGCAAGGGTCCCCACTGGGAGCTGTCCTGCAGACAGGAATCCGACAAGAGTGGTGCCTTGGCATGCTGTCCGATCCCTAGAGGCATCCTGGCTGGGGTCTCAGCATGATTCTCCTGGACCTGGTGTCCTTTCAACCTGGAGCCATTGGTGGCCTCCAACCACAGGGACTAGACAACTTTGCAAACATCACGAGTTTCTTCCTATATTCATGAAATGCAACTGCTTCAGCAGCTTCTCACAGAATATCCATCTGCAACAGAAAATAGAGGAGGCCTGGCTCTAGCTCTGCCTCTGCAGCCTTACTCGCTGTCACCTCGGGCTTCATCTGGGAAGTGAGGGGGTTGTGCTACCTAACCCAGAAGATCTAAAAACTATTTTGCGTTCTGATGATCTCCCTGTTCTTTGGCTTTTAGTGTGCCAACCTGGAGACGGCCATCACTGATGCCGAGCAGCAGGGCGACTGTGCCCTGAAGGACGCCTGGGCCAAGCTGGACGAGCTGGAGGCTGCCCTGCACCAGGCCAAGGATGAGCTGGCCCGGATGCTGCGTGAGTACCAGGAGCTCATGAGCACGAAGCTGGCCCTGGACGTGGAGATCGCCACCTACCGCAAGCTGCTGGAGGGCGAGGAGTGCAGGTGTGGGGTGGAGGGGAATGCTGGGGAGAAGGGGCTGTGGGTGGCTCTCTGCTGGGCTTGGGACATTTGGGAAGTGGAAGATGAAAGAGATGAGCACAGGGTGGTGGTTTGACTGGGAGCTCAGCTGCTGCTCCCTGCAAGGGGAGCTCAAACACGAAACAGGCAGAAGAACAAGTAAGATCAGACAGATCAGATTTCCTCACTGGCTTTAGCACATATAAGCTGTGGTCCTGGCAGATCATTTAGCGTCTCTGCATCTCTATTTCCTCACCTGTAAAATGGGATTATAATCTCCATCTCACACAGTGTTTTAAGGATGAATTAAAATAATATACATGGTAAAGCAGGTGCCCATCAAGGTTTAGCTGAGGGTAGACACTCGCTGAGGTTTTATCCCTCTCTAACTTTCTGTCTTACAGGATGTCTGGTGACAACCCATCCTCCGTGAGCATCTGTAAGTATTCCTGAGAAATGGGTCGGGTGGGGATTCTGGCTGGATGGGAAAGTCGGGGACCCCAGGGTAGGGCGATGCCCCCTCCACTCATGGTCTCCCCCAATCTGGGACTTTCTGTTACTGTCTTTTGAAACTTCTCTGTCTTCAAAGAAAACCTACTTCCCTTTGTCCCATGGCAACAGTGCTGAAGTCATGCCCACCCCATTTCCTCCCTGTCTCTCCCGGGGGCATTGTCATCGAGAGAGAGAGAGAGAGAGAGAGAGAGAGAGAGAGTTGAAAATGTGCATTTGGGGAGCCAAACGGTCCAGGAAGCTCCAGGAGGGCAGAGATCACGTCTGTGTCATGTGGTCCCCACCTTACTCAGAGCCCGGCACATCACGGCGCTCATTCACTCATTCATCTTGGTGGTATTCCCTGACTGCTGAGGGTTGCCGGGGACAGAGGGGGATGGTTCCTTTTCTGACTGACCCTCTCTGCCCTTCCTCTCTGCTCTTGGCCCCGCCTCCTCAGCCATCAGCAGCAGCAGGGGAAGCAGCTACTACCGCCCCAACTCTTCGGCCCGTGCCGACGCCGGGGCCAGCAGCGTGGTGGGCAGCTCTGGCAGCGCTTGGGCCGGGCAGACCAGGGCCAAGGGGGCACGCGGGGGAGACCTCAAGGACTCCCAAGACCTCAAGGGCAAGAGCTCCTCTGCCAGCGCCCCAGCCGGGAAAGCTGCCTGATAAGCCCCGGGGGCCCCCTCCCCTCAGCACCCGGGAGAAGGGATGCCCTTGCCGCCTCCACCCAGCCCAGAGATGTCTACTGCCTGCCATTCCCCCACCGAGTCCTGGGACTGTCTGCAGTGCGCTCAGCCACCCGTGCTGTGGTTCCCCTCACTGTCCAGCTCTGACTGGCACCATCGCCTCTCTGTCTCCTCAGGTCCTGTGTGGACTCTGTGGCTTCTTGTTTTCCCTACTGCCTTCAGCTGACAGGAGGCTTTGGGACACAGCCTATAATTACCTTCTTGGCCCTGGGAAGCTGTGGCCCTCCCCGGGGCGGGGAGGGGGGGAGGAATAGTCATGTTCTGCGCTTAGGCTGTATCAGCAGCTGTCTGGGAGGTCCCGCCCCCAACCCCAGCTTTGGGGTGAGGATGGAGATGTGTGCCCAAGAGGCGAATGGTCAGCCAGGCTTTACCTGTCCCCTCCAAAAGCTCTTTGCGGAATGACCCCCTTATTCAGGAGAAAAAGTGTATATGCTCAGACTACCAGCTGTACCCATCTTTGCGAAGCCAAGTGACAGAGAACTGGGGGTTTCCTGCCACCTTGTGTCACCCACCCACTCCTCTATTATTGGTAAGAGCTACTACCCTATGATCTGTGGCAGCTATGTGCCAGGCTCCCTGTATGCGTTGCCTCTCGTGCTTGCCCAGTCTGCAAGGTGGGTGCAATCGGCATCCTTGGGACAGAGGAGAAGCCCCAGCCTCTGAGAGACTGTAGAACCTGCCCCCCTGTTACCCACTGAGTTCCCCGGGCTGGGAGTGGAGCCCGGGTCTGGCTGACTCCACGGTCTATATTCTTTTCATGGCATATCACTGCCTCTGTAACAAAGGGAATTTTTTCAAACACTCGGTTCTTTTGATGAGGGCAGCATGATTATGTTGCCTTTTGGTCAAGGACTGTGGGTATGTGATTTATCTTTAGTCCTCTCACTAGGATCGTACCCTGCAGTGCTTGTGATTCTCAATTCCTGTTGCTATGAGCTGTGTTCAGTGAGGGGAGCTTGATCTATCTCTGGTGGTACTGCCCAGCCCGGAAGTCATGGCTCTTGATGTAAATATTCCTAAGAATATTCCTCCTTTGCTCTAGTTAAAGACTCTGGATTTCTGCTGTATATTCAATAAATTGCCCTTGGGTGATATCAGTGTGTGTCTTGTCAGTGTGTCAATCTTACCAAATAGCCCACCCCCTAACGATAATGGGCCCCGCCCCACACACGTACGCAAGATTTTAGGGAGTCTGGAATCAGGTCAGAGCACGCTGCTCTGGAGGTGATTTCAAGGCTGATGGGAGAGATGGACATACATGCAAAGCCATGTCCTGGTACAAATCAGGGAAAGGAAGACCCATGTAGCATTACTGAGAAGGGACCAGAATGCAGAAGCTAAACAAGGAAGGCCTCCTAGAGGAGGAGGAAGTTTAAGCAAATAACTAGAAAGATGAGCACATAGATTCCTGGAGAGAGAACTTAAATCACACCATCACAGTAGGTTTGGGGACAAGTTTTGGGTGTTTATTTTGGTGAGGGTTGGGAGATCTTAGATTTTCTGAAGTGGCTAGTGGAGCTGGGTGGGGTTCTGATAGCTTTGGCCTGCAGAATTCAGCCCTCTGATGGGCTTTCTGATCCATCTAGTAGCATGGGTGTCCTAAGCAGTTTGCCCCTCCAGCCTTCAGGGTAACAGGGGCAGGCCTTCCGAGGGCAGGGCCTCTCACCCCAAGCTGCCTCCTCCATAGGCCTCATTGTGCCTTTCATGTATTATGGAGGTCCTCTTCTGGTGTGCCAAGATGCAATAAACCTTGGGAAACACAAGAGTCCAAGAGTCTGGTGGGCTTTCTGCCCAAATGCCTCCCTCTGATGTCACTGCTGTGGTCACTGTGGGTACGGGGAATAGTGCCCTGGGAGTTAAGGGGATTCTGTTCTGGCTCAGCCACTAACCTGTCACCTGTTACACTCAGACCAACTGATGTGAGCTATGGGCCTTTTCCCCCTGAAAAAGGTACACAATTATGTCTACCTTTTCAGAGGTTTGCAAACCCCCCAAAGCCCATTCATGGACTAATTCCCTGGGTCATGAACCCCAGGACCACCCTAAGGCCCTTCCCAGCATTGATGCTCTGCCTTTCCCCGAAGACCAGATTCCCAGTGATCCAGTAAGAGGGGCTGTGGGGAGGGGAGGTGTGGGTGGGATCCACAACCTGAAACAGCCTTTAGAGGAACCATGAGCCATCCATGAGGTTGCCTCTTCCAGGACCACAGTGCTGGTATGCCTCTGACCATTGGGTTATGAGGCTTGGGTGCTGTGCCCAGTCCTGGGTGCACAGTGAAGGACTCAGAGGCTAGGTAGATGTGATTTGGGGAGACTGAGGCAACATGTCCTGTGCTGGGTATTGAGGAGGGCAGAGGGGCAGCCTCTCTGGTTGCGGTTTATCTGCCTGAGAAATGGAGAGATTCTTTGTCATCTGGGGCTTAATTAAGATCCTGAGAAGTGCACAAGGATGACTGTGCTCTTGAATTTGAAGTTTCCTTTGAAGCCCAAGAGAGCAAATCATAGAGATAGGACCGTGGTCACCAACTTCAATTCTGTGGATCTGACTTCAGCACACAGGGCAAAAAAAAACTGGAAGGAAGAGGTGTGCATGGAAGTTTTGATTGGAGAGCTGCCCAGGGGAGTGGGGGAGTGTCCACACTGTCTGGGAGGGTAAGCATCCAGTTCATTTGCTCTGTGTAGACCTCCAATGAAGGTCCACTTATGGGCTGAGTCATCTGTCTGGGTGATGTTTATGCTCACAGTCTTTGTGCATGGAGACTTTCATTCACACCTTTCATTACTTGGACAACTCTTATTGCTCCTTTGACATTCCGTCCGGGTACCCACTCCTCCTGGAAACCTTCATGAATCTTTAGGCTGGGCTGAGCGCCTGTTTTCTAGAACCTTGCAGTGTCCACTACTCACGTCCAACATGACATTTCCACATGCAATTGAGATAATCTCTCTGTGTGACTGATTCTTTCAGTGTCAGACTTGGGGGCCTTGAGGGCAAGGACTGGCTTTATTCTTTGCTGGGTTTTCCACTTAAGGGAGCTTCACCTAACAGAGACACGCAGGAAAGAGTGCTCACAGGATCTTCCTAACTAGCACAAATACATTTAAAAGATTTGGAGAAGTGGGGCACCTGGGTGGCTCAGTCGTTAAGCGTCTGCCTTCGGCTCAGGTCATGATCCCAGGGTCCTGGAATCGAGCCCCGCATCGGGCTCTCTGTTCAAAAGGGAGCCTGCTTCTCCCTCTCCCACTCTGCCAGCTTGTGTTCCCTCTCTCACTGTCTCTCTCTGTCAAATAAATAAATAAAATCTTAAAAAAAAAAGATTTGGAGAAGTAAAACCATATATTTATGGCCATTTTGACAAGGATGCCAACACCATTCCTGGACATGCTGGGACAATTGGCTATCCACATGCAAAAGAGTGAAGTTGGACTCCCACTTCTCATCATATACAAAAGTTATGTCAAATCAATTAACAACCTAAATATAGGAGCTAAAACCATAAAGCTCTTAGAAGAAATAAAGGGATAAATCTTCATGACCTTGGATGTGGCAAAGGATTCTTAGATATGACACCAAAGCACAAGCACCAAAAGAAAAAATAGAGAAAGTTGGACTTCATAAAAATTTAAAAACTTCTGTACATCAAAGGACACTACCAAGAAAGTGAAAAGAAAACCTGCAGAATGAGAGAAAACATTTGCAAATCATATATCTGCTGAGGATCTAGTATCCAGAACATACAAAGAACTCTTAGCACTCAACAACAAAAGGACAAACAACCCAATTAAAACATGAGCAAAGGACTTTAATGGACTTTTTTTCTAAGAAAACATATAAATGGTCAAAAAGCACATGCAAGGGGGCGCCTGGGTGGCTCAGTTGGTTGAGCGACTGCCTTCGGCTCAGGTCATGGTCCTGGAGTCCCTGAATCGAGTCTCGCATCGGGCTCCCTGCTCGGCGGGGAGTCTGCTTCTCCCTCTGACCCTCCTCCCTCTCATGCTCTCTGTCTCTCATTCTCTCTCTCACAAATATGTAAAATCTTAAAAAAAAAAAAAAAAAAGCACATGCAAGGATGCTCAACATGACTCATCATCAGGAGAATGCAAATCCAAACCATAATTAAGTGCCACTTCACACCCACTAGGACGGCAGTAATAAAAATAATGGAAAGTAAAAAGTGTTGGCAAGGATGTGGAGACATTGGAACTTTTGTACGTGACTGGTGGGAATGTAAAATGGTTCAGCCATTGTGAAAAACAGTCGGGCAGTCCCTCATAAAGTTAAACATAGGACTGGTATATGAGCAGTTCCACTCCTTTATCTATATATCCAAAAGAATTGAAACCAGGTGCTTAAACAAATTCTTGTACATGCATGTTCATAGTGGCACTGTTCACAATAACCAAAGGTGGAAAGAGATTGCTATGGTCTGAGTGTTTGTGTCTCCCCCAGATTCACATGTTGAAGCCCTAACCCCCAAAGATGGTGGTTTTTGGAGGTGGGGTCTTTGGGAAGTACTTAGGTTATTAGGCCATGAATGGGACTGGTGCTCTAATAAAAGAGACCCCACAGAGCTCCCTAACCCCTTCTACCATATGAGGACATAGGGACAAGTTGCTGGCTATGCACCAGGAAGAGGGCCCCCTCTGCAATGCAACCATGCTGGTGCCTTGACCTTGGACTTCCCAGCTTCCAGAATTGTGAGAAGTAAATTTCTGTTGTTTATAAGGTACCAGTCTGTGGTATTTGTTATAGCAGCCTGGCAGGACTAAGACATAGCCTAAATGTCCATAATGAATGAATAGATAAAAAAAATTATAGTATATACTTTGCAACGGGATATTATTCAGGCATAAAAAGCAATGAAGTACAGACACATGCTATAATATGGATGAATCTTGAAAACGTGATGCTAAGTGAAG